TTTTTTTTTTTTTTTCTTTCTTCCTGATTTAGGATGAATTACCAACTTATATTTCTATATTTCTATATTTTGATCCCCCCTCGATATTAGTTTCTATTTTTCAAATTGCTCTTTCAATAAGGTGTCAAGAAAGTGCAGAGAACTTTGAAACATATTAGGTCAGACCTCCAAGTTAGTTTTTATAGTTATTCCCTTTTGTAATTACGTCTCATAGGGTCCTTGTTGTAGGGAGAAAAGGAATGTTCGCATTATATGAAAACCGGGCAGTGCAGGTTTGGTGCTACGTGTAAATTCCACCACCCACAACCAACCGGGATACAGGTGCCTGTACCCACAGCTCCACCAGCTGCAGTGTATCCAACCGTGCAATCTCCTTCTCTTCAAACTTCTCAACAATATGGGCTTTTCCCTGGGAATTGGCCCGTCGCTAGGCCCAGCATTATTCCGGGCTCATATGTTCCTGGAGGTCATATGGTCCTACAGCCTGGAGTTATCCCTGTTCCCGGTTGGACTCCCTATGCAGTAGGTTTTCCGAAAATGATCTCAAGTTTCTTAAAGCTGCCTTTTCTTGTACACTTGTTGCTCCTGTTTTAAACTATAGTAAGTACAATTTACAGACACCTGGGGCCTCTCCTAGTACCCAACCTACTGTTGGTGGCGGCTCAATTTACGGGATAACACAGTTATCTCATTCATCGGCTTCTTACACGGGCCCATATGTCACCTCTTCTATTGGCCAGTCGAGTAGCAACCAAAAGGAACATGCATTTCCCAAAAGACCCGGTCAACCAGAATGTCAGTATTATTTGAGGACAGGAGATTGTAAATTTGGCTCTACGTGCAAATATCATCATCCGCGCGAGTGGACTGCACCAACAATGAATTTTTCACTCAGTCCCGTGGGTCTCCCTTCACGCCCGGTAAGCATTCGATCCTCTTTTCGATGTTGTTAGAATATTCTAAAATTATCTGTGAGTGCAAGATTCAAGTTTATGCTATCAAGTATCAATGCAAAGTGTGCATAATCTTCTTTCCCCCTTTGCTGCTTCTCGTCTGGTATTTGAAAAAACTGCTATCAAGTAAATACAAACTGCTGATTCTGAATATGCATGACCCTTGCTTTCATTATATTCGCAATATTGTGAAAATGCTGATAATCTTACAATTCAGTCGTGTGGATATTTGACCGTGCTATTATTTGTAGTTTTATGTCTCGATGTTATTTTGTAGTTTTCTCAGTTTTCTCGTTCGTTTATTCAGGGCATGCCAATTTGTTCTCACTATGCCCAAAGCGGGATGTGCAGATTCGGGCTCTCCTGCAGGTTTGACCACCCAATGGGCACTATGAGCTACAGCCCATCCGCGTCGTCTCTAACCGACATGCCAGTGGCCCCTTACCCCGTGGGTTCCACAAGCACTACATTGGCTCCTTCGTCATCCTCGTTAGACCTGAGGCCCGAAAATCTTTCCGGGCCCAACAAAGACTCGGTATCCCACATACCTACTGTGAACAGCTCAAGTACGTCGGTCGGCTCGATTCTCTCGAAAAGTGGGCCCACGCCTCAATCGGGCGCTGCCTCCTCAAGTTAGAGCGCTTCTGCTCTCCTCGACTATAAAAGCCTCGGCCTTTCGATTGAAACGGTGCATTCTTGAAGAAATAATAAGCGCCTCATTTTTGCGTTTTATTTATAAAGCCATCGAATAATGAAAAAGTTGAAAACACAAAAGATACCTCTCTACCATTAATCAGGCATTAAATTCAAAATTTTTGAAGCTTCTTGTTGTCTGTTTATGTGTAGCCATGTAATACTCTGTTTTTAAATATATCTATAGTGCATCAAACAGAATTTGAGAAAATTAGATCATTCACCTTCAAATCTCTTTTTATCTTTTTATTTACGAAGTTTTTTTACTTAACTACAAAATATAATAACTTTGACTTTTATCTTTTTATTGGTACATTCACGAAGTTTTTTATTAGTTACAAACTGTTCATTAAAGGTTGATTTGTGGTTTATTTTTTGTTTTTGGTTTCTAAATTGCATTGTTTTTTTAGTTCATGAGTCGTTTATGAATGATTTATGTATAGCTTTTTTTTTTTTTTTAATGTCGTAATTTTTACAGATTTGTATAATATATATAGTAAATATTAAGAAATGTTAAGAAGTGGTCAAAAATACCACTGTAGAGTCTGCGAAATTGACTATTTGACTATGTGGTAAAAAAAAAAAAAATCTAATTCGATTCGCATATGAAATGAAAATTTTAATCTTTTTTTAGTATATATCATTTTTTTTAATGAATTAGCTAATTTTAGTATATCTTATTTTTTTTTTAAAATGAATTAGCTAATTAAATTATTGCAGCAAGTCTGATGAGATCAATTTGCATATATTTTTTCTGAAAAAAATGACCAACTAATTGCATATTTTATAACATTCCACGTCCAAGCGGAATAACATGAAAACCATTGATATCACAAGAACTTTAACTTAACCCTACATACACTAAAAAATTTGTTATATTCTAACAGAAAATCCTACGGTAATATATTCTAACAAAAGTTCCAATGGTATATATAACTTCTTGGAATGATTCCAACGAAAATATTGCCTTGGGGGTGAGTTTTCCATTGGAATTTTAGATGAAATTTAATGATTCCAACGGCTATTTTTTCTACGGTTTTTTTTTAATGTAGGAATTTTCGTTGGATTATGCAATTTCATTGAAATTCTTATTTCCACCTCCGTTGGAAAGTCTACTGTTAGAATCTTCAAAATCCAACATAATTCCAATGGAAAACTCATTCAAACGGAAGATTTTTGTTGGAATTCCATTAAAATATATTTATAAAAATCATGCATATGATCTCTCTCTTCCTGGTGGAAGCTCTCATTCTTAATATTGAAGAAGGTTTGGAACCCTGTACTCATGTCCCTCGGCGGATTTCTCGTTCCCCTAACCCAACCCGGGAACGGACCGGAGGGAAGCGCTCCGTCGTCTTTCCTCGTTCACTCCTTTCCTATCTAATCATAACTTCTTCGAGACGGATGAGATGGAAGAAGACATAGAATCCGTACTGCCACGAAAAAATTCAAACCTCGAGCTCGAGGACGCCGCCTTCCACCTAAGCTGCGCAGGAAAGGCCCAAACCCAATCCCAGGGAACCAATAAGAACCCTAATGAACCTAAAAAAACGACAAAGGCCCAGCAAAAATTACTTAGTTTTCGAGAACCCGTTATAAGTGTCCGCAACCCCGCTAACCGGTCTTGAGAGTGAGTAAGTCATTCCGGGCCCACCGTATCCCATTTTTGTTGGAAGAATATCGCTGCAGTATGTATGAAATACATAGTGTACTTGGATCCGAGGGTGAGCTAACCCCAAAAACCCGGCCTCAGTTCGGATTGCAGGCTGCAACTCGCCTGCATGAAGTCGATGAAATTTTCTGTCGAAATTTCATCATTTTGTTGTAGTGATGCATGTATACTAGAGTTAGACAACATATATTTGTAGATAAATATCTTTTTTCTACATATAATATAGATAGTAAATCAAAACTCATCAAAAAATGATTAATTTTATATATTATATATGTGAAACTGATAAGAAACACAAAAATTATTAACTTTTAGAATATGGTAACACAAAACTCCTCGACCGGCTGGAACTTGAGTAATCGCCTTCCTTCTCGC